ACTGACTTGTGCCAATTTTTCATCTTTTTGGGTTTTGGTACGTTTGATTTTGCCTCCAATTTAACACTGTTCATTTGAGATGGCTAATTACGAGAACTTCGGAAATTGCATTCAAGCAAATCCATTTAAGATTTTCTGTAAAAGGTAGAGCAATAGTGAACTAGACTAACCAGGTTATTCCTTCCTTTCAGCCCCACCATCATTTGTGATGACAGGATTCTCAGACAGAGCACTATGAAGTAACTTTGCTCCTTCAGCAGCAAGAACGTGGCTTTTCTCAGAAGCTTCCTCCTTATTCCTGCATTTTTTGGGTCTACAGCTACAAGATGATCCACAACAATTCTTTGCAGCTCGACATTTACCTCCGTTTGTCTTGCATAAAGAAGATGTACTGCATGAGTAGCCGAGTCCCTCTTGATTATCAAATTTTAACTGCTTTTTCCTATAATGGCCCATTTCCACTTTCGTGCGTACCCACTCAGCCTCATTAGCGCTATTCAGTTCAGAAACATCTGACTGAAGATCATCATCAGATGTGTCCATCTGAGAATAAAGCATTGACCTAATTTATGAGTATAAGTTCCACGAGCCAGATCATTTCTCTATTAACTTCTTTTCAAAATATAAGTTCCATGAGAACACAAAACACACATTTATTTAACCTCTTTTCTTATAACTAGATCCCAATAAAATCTGTATGGATATAAGAAAGTCTTAACTCCTTGAGTTCAAGTCTTTTGCCCAACTCTTATAGTTCTTATCCAATGGTTCTTGATGAGAAGAACGCCCTTTCTCCACATCTTCAGCCTATCCCCTACACAAAGTAAAGAGTCAAGATAGTGACTATCATGCACAAAGGACTTCAAAGTGTACAGAACAAAAGTACGTAACTACCCGATTATCCACAACTACCCTCTCGATTATCAGTTTTAATCTGCATTTTCCTATATTGGCCCCTTTTTTACTTTAGTGGGTACTTACTTAGCATTATCATCCCTATAGATATCAGTATCCACGGGCTGAAGGTCATTAACAGCTGTGTCCGTCCGAGAACAAAGTTATGACCAATTAGAACCATATATTTTTGGTGTAATATTTTTTCAATGTGTCACAATGAGTTAAAGAAAATCAAGTCCAAGTATTAAAGGTCAAAAAATATCAAATATTTACCTAATTTTGGAGTATACGTTCCATGAGCCAGATTGTTTTTCTATTAACTTCTTTCAAAATATAAGTTTTATGAAAGCCCAAAACACACTTTTATTTAACCTCTTTTCTCATAACTGAATCCCAATAAAATATGTATAAATGTAAGAAAGTCTATTTCCTCCTGTTCAAATCTTTTACCCAATTCTTATAGTTTATTATCCAATGGTTCTTGAAGGGAAAAATGCTCTTAACACTTTCTCCACATCTTCAGCCTCCCTTACACAAGGTCAAGAGTCAAGATAGTGAATATCACGTGTTGGGTTTTGATACCCAATAAATCCCTGGCTATGATAGTTTAGTTGGATTGAATATCATAGACATTGACTGAGGAGTGAAATTGTTACCAACAATCAAGTCTAAATGCTCGATCTAAAAACAATATGAATCGTTGGAAGTAGTTTAAAAATTAATATTACTCACGACCCATAAATATTTATATATTGGATGGTTTTGAATCTCAGCCCATTTAACCCAATTATTGAACCAACTAAAGCCTAACCTAATCCTATATATTGGTTACCTTTACCAAAACCGTTAGTGTGTGATTTGTGTTAGAAGAAGAGAGAAAAACTTGTGTCATTAGAAGAAAAAAACCGACTACCTTTGTGTTCCAAAATCGGTGATTAACTTGTGTTTTTCAAAATGTTTACACATTTTGAAGTTGGAATTTTCAATGGAAAATTGGAATTTTTGGATTTGGCAATAAAAGATGAAGAAAATTTTGGTTCAACGAAAAATTTTAAAAGTCAAAGATGACAAATTTTCTACAAATTTGACAGAAGCAAAATAAGATGATAAACTTGCTTACATTTCAATTATTTTACACATATTGACCTTTTTTTGAGAAAAGGTAAAAACTTGATTTTAAAAAAGAATTTTGGAAAAAGTTCAAAAACTTATATTTGCTTAAATCAACTCCTAATAATTTGTATTTGTTCGAAAGATTTTTTAATTCTAAAATGGATTTTTCAAATGATCTTGATAATAATTTGGATATTTTAAACAAATTTGTTCAAAATATCGTTAATTATGATGATAATGTGTCTGAAATTTATAAGGCCATCATTTTTGCTGAATTCTATGTTTGACTCATATAGAGAGGATAAAAATACGATTAAATTAGGTAAGGATAACACCTGAGATTGTCATTAATTCTCTTAGAAGTAAAGAGATGGAGACTAAAGTCGAAAAAGAGAATAAGAGGAGTGGTGAGTTACATGTGATGAGGAGTAGAATGAAGTTTAAGTGCAATTGAATTTGGGTAGAGCTCAACACAGTAGTGATTCGAGTAGTGATGAGGATGGTAAGAAGAAGGGCAAGGGTTGCAACAAGTCCGATGGTAAGCAATGTTACAACTGTGGTAAGTCTGGATACTTTGTGAGGGATTGTCCTAAAAAGAAGAATTAGTAGAATGATAAGATGACATGTGAGATGAATATGGCTATAGGGTCGAGTGATGACCCTAATGAGGTTTATTGAAAGTAAATCTAGTTTCTACTTGTGTATCTGTGTAATCATTATGCATGTCAGCATGTGTGTGATTGCTTAATTATGTTGTATGATTGTATGTTCAATTTCTATGTTTTTGATATGCATTTGCATGAATTTGATAGCAATATGATTACAAGGTGTAATGTATTTTGTATGTATAGTGGGTTGAGATGTATTAACGGTAATGTGGAGTATAGATGGCTAGGGGTACATTGTTGATTTGTATTGAGGATGTAGAGTGTGACATTTTGATCACGGGTGGAGATGTGATTAAATGTTGGAATCCTTTATTTGTGAAGATCATGTGGAGTGTAAGAGATATACTTTTAGCACTTTTATTGGGTGGAGACCCATTATTCACTTAGGTTGGGAGAATTGATATGGTGATAGAGGATTATCCCGTAGACTTAGGATTTATTGTGGTTTACCAGTTAGACATGAGTTGAATCATTAGTCTAGTGAGCATGATGGACGATGAGAGGAGATATGTGTTCTTCAGGTGTGAGCAACACGGAATGGAATATGATAAGTGTGGTAAGATCTTTTCGTGAGGTCATTTGTCCATTTGTTGCATGTGTTTTTTTATCGTATGATTGATTGACATAGTGTTAATCTGTTATTCCGTGTAAACGTGTTTTGAAAAGATATGTGGGTTATCCTATGTTATATCTTCATCGCATGAATATGTGCTCCTAATTGTAAACTGTGATTATTTGCTTCTACTTAGGTATTTATTTGACCTTAATCCTGGTGAGTACATAGAGCATGTATGGTATGACATGTGTTTTGGATATGAATTACGAGGCCAGGCCCGTTATTTCATTTTTATTGGTTGCCTTGATTTTCCAATCATTAACTTTGTGTTTTGATTGTTTGCAGGTTGATTAGATATCAAGGTGGAAATTTGCTAAGTTTTGATACTCAATGAATTCTGGGATATGACATAAATGTTGAATTGATATTATAGACATTGGTCGATGAGTGAAATTATTATCAACAACTAAGTCTAAATGCTCAACCCGAAAACAATAGGACTATTGAAAGTAGTTTAAGAAATTACTATTACTCAAGGCATATAAATATTTACCTATTGGATGATTTTGAACATTGACCAATTCAACCCTATTATTGGTCTAAGTAAAGTCTAACCTACTCCTAAGAATTGGTTGCCCTTATCTTAGCCATTAGCGTGTGATTTGTGTTTGAGAAAGAGAGAAAAACATGCACCATTAAAGAACAAAAACCGGTTGCCTTTGTGTTCCAAAATTGGTGATTAACTGTGTTATTGGTCTCCTCATGTGCCTTTTTTTTTTTTATTGTTTTTCTTCTCGCATTTGTAGCTTACAAATCAATACTATAATTTTGTCATTTGTGGGTGAGATTGAGAAACAATTGAAATAAATATTGATTATGTTTTGGAGCCGTTTAAATTGACTGTTTGGTAAAGAAAGAGAACGTGAAATTGAACTTGAAAAATGCTATTTTCAAGAAATTATGTTATTTGTACCCTTTATGGTACACTTCGATTTACCCGACCCCACCTCCTTTCCAACATCCAATAAATGCGTGGAACCCAACCCCCATATGAAGGAATTATGTTATTTGTACCCTTTAGGGTGTACTTTGATTTACCGGACCCCACCCCTCTCTCACATGAGGGTCAGGTCCCACATCCAATAAATGCGTGGGACCCAACCCTAATGTGAGGGAGGGTGTGGGGCCGAATAAACTAACATGTACCCAAATGGTACATGTAGCAAGATTGATTTTGAAGATCATTGGAGTGAGCTTTCGCAATATAACGCACAAAATACGAGTACATAACAAAAGTAACAATCTAAGAAAAATCTATAGCAACAAATTATATATATATTTTTTATAAAGGAAACAAGTAACCAATAATTAATTTTAAGAGCTATGCATCAACAGTATGCTGCTTTATATTCTCATTACTGATCCTTCATTCTCGAAGTTCTTTCTTTAGCTCATCATTGCTTGCTTCAAATAAAGAAATATTGTGCTTAAGCATCTACATACTAAAAATTTGATGTAAATATATTAAAATAACATATAATGATTGAAAGAGATTAGATTTATTGAGGAATATTCGTGAGCTTCTGCAATTTGTTGTAAATAAGCGTAGCCTTAGTGATGATCAATAGACAATATACCTGAATTTCTTCAATTTATTTTAAACAAATAAATAAAACATTACTTGTTAAATCCATTGAGCAATACGTTTTAAAATAAATTTCATGTTTAGTCAAAAGTTAAATATTAATAAAATAATCTTACTTTGCCCCCGTTTGACACACATTTTTTCTCAAAATACATTAATTCAAAATTCTTTTTCAACCACACATTCTTCATCAAAATAATATTTTACTTCACATCAATAACTTTTTCTTACTTTTTAACCATATATTTCACATCATATCACTATTTAAAATATATTATTGTCTCAATAATATTCATCGAACACCCCTAAATCTTTCAAAATTAGTAAGAAAAAGGTAAAATTGAAACGTGTATAAATAAAAATTTTAATAGAAGTAAATTTGACAAAGAGGATAAAACTATTTTTTCAGAAGGATTTGACAGAAAGCCTGACATAATTGCATGTGGCAGTAGATGATTGAAAGAAAAATGTAACTATGTTTTAAATTGTCCAATAATAGAATTTCATGTGACATTATGTCAAATTTTATGTCAATCTTGATATTCATGTAGCATGATTTTTTTGACCAAACATGCATATGATGTTATTGGCAAACCTAACGTTTACCATCTAAAACTTCAAACATTACTTGAACAAATATTTACATGCCAAAAGCAATATTATAGCATGTTTGGGATGACATATTTTTAAAAATAAGCAATAAATATATAACTATTTTTAGATGTGAACCCACTTACATTTAAAATAAGCCACACATTTGGAGATTATCTTTAAGATAAGCCATCACAAACATGCTCATGGTAGAATGAAATATTAAAATGTTTCGCTCTTTGTATGAGACCCTCTTTTTTGGTAAGAATAAAATTTGTAATAGTTATTTTTTTAGAAAATGTATAATTAAAAGGTAGAAAAAGTTTTGGATATATATGCAAAATTATTTTATGTGTAATTGAAATTTCAAAGAAAAATGAGAGCTGGATCTTCCAACTAAGGCAGAGATACTTTCCCGTCAATTAATTTTACTTCTATAACAAAGAATTTCCTGCATAGTTGGAAAAAAGTACAAAACAAA